AGTAACGTCGTTCCAAACTCATATTATCTTCTTTTGTGAAACACAAAAGGAACATTTTTGATGATGTATTTAGTAGGTTTTTTTTTCTATTGTGATGACTTTTGCGATCATTTAAATTACGACTGATTTTTTTTTTTTCACATTTGTGGCACTAATGCAAAGACTAATAGCATTTAATCCCATATTATTAATATCAATGATGTATTAGTTGTTTTTGTTTTTTTCATTGCAATGAATATTGTGATATTTGAATTGCGACAATCTCAATTGCGCCACATAAAGGGAAAACTAACGTTGTTTCTAAGCTGTATGAAAAAAAAATCAAATTATTTAGTAGTCCTTATTTTTTTCCACTGCGATGACTATTCAAATTCAAAATTCGAATACTTTTTTTTAATTGGATCTTTTCAATGATTTGATTTATCCAGTTCACACAAATGGTCTGATTGATTCTTTCTTGAATTGGAATCCTTTTCTACACATTCTCATGACAAACTGCGATAATTTATACACAATTGCTAGATTGTATGATATTGTACAATTTAGATTTTACAAAAAAAAAAAAAAAAAATCCTATAAAAATCATGGTTAGGTTTAGGAGTTTTAGGTTTGAGTTTTACAATTTCACCATCTTATGGTGAATTAACTTACAAACTAAAAACTAAGAAAAGAACTTAAAAGACTTAAAATGACTCAAAATTATTACAAATTAAAGTAATCTGTCATTTCACTTTAGAAGACTTCTATACTGTACAACATATGAGTTATGATCATTTTGGACTACTTACAACACTTTTAAATATACTTTTATGATGCTTTTGTGTCAGTACATCCTTCAAAATTTCTCCATTTGGCCTCTAAAGAATAAAGAACGTTACACATTTGGAAGAGTATAAGTGATGACAAAAACTTTGTTTAGGTGAACTAATCCATTAAGATTGCAAATTAAATTGCAAATTGCATTGCATTTGTTTGTCTTTATAGGAAATATATATCTGGTGCTTTAGTTTTTACTTTTTGAAATATTATGAAGGATGTGAATAATTCGCAAAATACTAAATTCAACATAATTACATCCAAACTCCTTCATGACACCCATGACTTTTCCCCCTGAAATTTTAAGACCACTTGACATTCTCTCGTCTTCTGGTTCCCTTAATACGTGATTTCAAGAAGCCCTCGGCTGGACTTCATACACCTCCATTATCGAGGAGGATATTCAGCCGCAGTCCTCGATCGCTCATGCCGCCGCACTTCAGTAAATGTCACGCTGGATTATTTAAAGGCTTTTTTTTGAGGCAGTGACACTTCCTTGATATACAACTCTTGAAAGCATCTTCCAACACCAATGTATAATCTTAATATTTAATAAAGTGCCTGTATAAAATGCAAAAAAAAAAAAAAAAAAATGCATTTTATGGTGTTGTATAGTGCAGTGCTCTCGGCAATATATTTTTAAAGTCTTAGTGACGTTTCTTTGACATTATAAAGTGGATAACCAAATGCAAAATGGCATGGCGAGGTCACTTAGCGACGCTTACGAAATCTAGCCGAATTTGTCGCTCGCACACGAGGTCAAACTTCGGTCAGTTCTCGGATGATCTAACAAAAATCGGATACTGCTCCAGTGTTTCTTCTCAAACGTCCAATCTCAAACAAAGTGCGAATCCAAACAAACCCCAAATACGAACTCTCGTTGTCCCTACGAAAGAATTAAGCAAAGGTCATCTGAAGTTCACGCGTCTGGTTTCATAGATTTACACTGGCGGGAATGAAGGCTGTTTTTTTGGGGGGCTCAACACTAGCCACAGACTGTCACATCAGCTGTGACGTGACATTTTCTGAGCCTCTGACCCCAGTCTTCAGGTCATCGTGCGGTCAAACCTCTCCTGCGGGCCACGAGTCGCTTCACTAAAACATAACCGAAATGCCTGGCCATTGCTAACATGCCGCACTTTCGTTCCTTCATAAGCAGCTCCTCCTCTGTCTCGATTCAGAGTTCAGCGAAAGGCCACCGGATCGCCCCGCCCTCAAAACAGCTTCACTTGTATACAGGGAATGTTAACGAGCACGAGTGTCTTTGCTCCGCCCATCGTTAAGCAGCTCGCGCCGCGTGACCGTTTCTTCATACAGAAACACAGTGACCCCTGGTGTTTGGAGCTGTGTTTTGAAAGCTGTCTGATTACTTTTGTGGATGAAAACACAAATCTTTCATGTAAAATTATAATATATAATGCATTATTTTATTTTATTTCTCTGATACTTCCATGCCTGTTAAGAGTCCTGTGTAATTTGCTAATAACAGACTAAAATTCATCAGTAAAGTCTTCTTGGGCTTAAGTTTCATGCGAAAATGAAAATTAATGTGTTACAAAAATATCCTTATAATATGTGACCCTGGAGCACAAAACCAGTCATAAGGGTCAATTTTTTTAAATTGAGATTTATACATCATCCGAAAGCTGAATAAATAATCTTTCCGTTGATGTATGGTTTGTTAGGATCGGACAATATTTGGTCGAGATACAACTATTTGAAAATCTGGAATCTGAGGGTGCAAAAAAATCAAAATATTGAGAAAATCATCTTTAAAGTTGTTCAAATGAAGTTCTTAGCAATGCATATTACTAATCAAAAATTACGTTTTGATATATTTACGGTAGGAAATTTACAAAATATCTTCATGGAACATAATCTTTACTTAATATCCTAATGATTTTTGGCATAAAAGAAAAATGGATAATTTTGACCCAAACAATGTATTTTTGGCTATTGCTACAAATATACCCCAGCAACTCAAGACTGCTTTTGTGCTCCAGGCTCACCTATTATTATTTGAATTGTGGATATTAATATTAAAATGTTTTAGGAGAACTATTTTGCAATGGTACGCCTAATAATAATACAGCTCATATTTGCACTGAAACTTTAGATTTCATCTAGATATGTAGAGCAAAATCTGGGATTAAAACTCAATTTAAACTTGGAGATAACTGAAAATGTAGGATTTAAAAAAAAATAAATAAATAAAGAAACGTTTTGACATAAAACGAAGAAGAAATATTTAACATTCTGCAATACAAGATACATGATCATCAGGTTATTTATTTATTTTTTTTTAAAAGGTTTTGCATATAATTTATAATGAAAGTTTTTAGCATGTTTATGTACTGACTATATATAGTTTTCAACCAAAATCTGATATTGTGTAATCAGAAAATTCTTATTTTTGTAACTACAAACATCCTTAAGAGAGCAGAAAAATATGTAACACAAGTGAATCATCCAGATGTAGTCGGCCATTTTTCCGAACAACCGAACATTTTTCAGTTTATTAAGAAACACGGGGTAAAAATAGGCTTTATGGGAGAATAACATAACAGAAAACACTGCACACACACACAAAAATAAAGACTTCGTGGAGAAGCACCTGGATGATTCCCATCAGAACACAGATCCCAGTATTTTCAGTATGAAACAGAAAATGTTTCAATAGAGTACTGAAGGTGTTTTTTTTTCAATAATTATTAAATTAATTTTAGATGAATGCTCCCATTTGAAAAGTTAATGTCAAATTTGTCTAACAAATCTAACAAAATCTAGCCTGACCTGTACATTAATCAGAAGCTGAGACGTTAAATTCAGAACATTTAAAACACAGCATAATATTAATACATATAGTTTATAAACAATAATAATACATATAGTTGCACTAAAAAACTAAAGTAAAAATGCATACAGTTTTTAAACAAATATTGTCTGGCGCATGTAGATCCATGACACAAATTATGACACATTAAATATGTTAAAACAAAAATCACTTTTGTTTGTTTGTTGTTCGAATATTAAGGACAACATATTTCTGCTAAAAAAAAACCAAAAAAAAAACCATAGTAACACAGACTATATTCTCGTTCTTATCCATGTTAACTGAAGAGTAATATGTTGTTGCATATAGTGATCGCAGTGTGCAGTTTTAACAAATACAATCATTTTACAAGTCAGCCAGTGCAGAAGAGAATCAAGGAGTAATGAGTTTATTGTAGATTTATGAATGCCTCAATATTTCTCAGTCATTCTCAGTGGTTGCGGGATTGTTTTATGTGAGTTAATGTCGTCCTCTAGTGTACAGTTTATATATAGCTGTATTCTACAGTGATTCAATGAACATACTAATAATCTCAATCATTGCACATTTACCTTTAGTCTATAGTGCAATGCAAAAGAAATTAATATCATTGTAATATGATATTATTAAAATATTATTATTTTAATAATATTAACAACATAAAATATATTTTATTTTTACAAAAACAATCTATTTTTCTTATCTTATTTATCCAAATATAGTAAATGTGTATGTCCCTACCATTATATTTTAATAGGTTATATATATATATATATATATGAAACAAATTTAAATGTTGTGCTTTCACATTTTTTTTTTCTAAAATATTTTATATATTTTTAGATCATGCAGAGCTTTCTGTTCAACCCTGTCATGCTGAGACAATTCACCATTTAAAAACAATAGTTTGTTCTTTATGAAATGAAATCATATTCTTGTGTTTTGTCAAGTTCTATAGTTTAACTGTTATAGGAAAAAAGTCATCCTTGTTTGATCAATTTTAGATTAAAAAAAAATATATTCTATGTATAAGAATATTAAGCCACTCAATTGTAAAATAATAATAATGATAATAATAATAATAATAATAAATTAATAAAATAAACAAATAAAATAAAAAATAATTAATTTTATTTAATTTTAATGAATTTTATCTCACAATTCTGACATTTTTTCTCACAATTTAATCTGCAGCCCTGGTACTTTGGGCCTGAGGTTAGAATATGATTTTTATTTTTTATTTTCTTTAAGAAAAGAAAAAGGAAATTAATACATTAAAAACAAATAATCAATCATCAACAAATCTATATTGTTCTAAACTCATTGCATTAATCTCTGTATTAATATAAAAACATCATAACGCACATGAATGGATTTTCCCTCGGGATGTGGCCTTTCGTTCTAAATCCTAAAACATTTGATCTAATGGAATTTCCATAGGAAATATAGTAGAAACATCCATTTATCACAAGAGTCTTGGCCCTGATCAAAGCTCTGCACAGAGCCGAGATTCACCTGATTTATTCAGCAGCCTCGCGTTTGCTTTTGTCATTCTGCTTGTTATGTTGGTCTTACCCCTCTCCTGTGGTCTCCATTCACTGCTGTTTATTTGTATTGCAGTCAATCCAGATGTTATCCACTGGTCACTGATTGTGTTTCAGCTGGAGCTGCATTAACTGTCAGTGTGTCAAACCTAGACTGAGTTCTCAAGATTTATTGAGTCAAAAGATTCAGTAACAGCTCACCGACAGTGTCACAATCTAGTTGACGTCAAACCTAGAGACAAAGAAAGAATATTGTTAAATAATAAGCTACTTTTTTATTTTCACTATCTTTTTTATCTATCCACCTATCTATCTATCTATCTATCTATCTATCTATCTATCTATCTATCTATCTATCTATCTATCTATCTCTCTCTCTCTCTCTCT